ATAGATAGATAGATAGATAGATAGATAGATAGATAGATAGATAGATAGATAGATAGATAGATAGATAGATAGATAGATTTAATTAATTAATTTTTAATAATTTAATAACTTTTAATCAGGAGTTATACAAGTTGTATGTGATCACAAGAGGATAGGAAATACTAAAATAATGCTTAAGTAGCCTACCATGTTGAAGAGTAATTTTCTAAAATTGTTTGCTCTATTCTCCAGTACAGTAAGTGGCAGTGTTCAACTTGAGTTGACATTGTTTTCTACCATCAGATGCATGTGACTTACTGGTTTAACCAGAATGACAAAACAAGTCAGATGTATGCTGACTCTGCTGGGAAAGGATGGTGCTTTATACCTTCTTTTCTAATTCTTACTTGGATTAGACATTGTCAGGTAGGATGTTTGTTTTATGTAAACCTTATTCATGTTGCTGTTTACTCTATTAAAATATATTATTATTTGTGTTTTGCTATCACAAAACATCATGTCTGATCTTTCTAAAGGCTTTTATAAAATGAGGGGAAAATATTTTTTCATATTAAGCTACTCTGTTTACTCAAGTTAGCGAATTGAAAACAGCTCTGATCTAATGTCAACAAAAAACAAGAGCTTAAAAACATTGTCTGTCTGTCTGTCTGTCTAGTCATTCTGTAGCCTAATTAAACCAGAAAAACCAGAGTCCTTTGCTTGAAGCTGTGTGTTGATGAGGACTGAGCTGTCTGAAAGTAAACCAGTAATTTTTTGAATGCATCTCATCTGAAAATTAAATGTAAGTCAGAGTAAAAGTCACTGTCTTATATCAAAATGTAACATGTGAATAATGTTAAATTATATCCTGTTAAAGCCAAATGGACCAGCAGAGACCAGAATCATTGTATCATCTCCAGTCTGACAGTAAAATGTGAGAATTTACTGCAATGTTTCAAATATTTTTATTAGATTTTTGAAGTGAGATTAAATCAAAAGTAAACATTTTAAAACTAAGTTTGATGTACAAGTTGTCTTTGAAGCCGCAGAGACCAGAGACCCTAACAAGACCAAATTAAGTGATTGTTAATTGACATTGTCAATCTTAAATACGGTAGTGTAATTTGTATCAGGTAATTGTAAGGTTATTTTTTTTTAAAGCTAACTGCTTATTATCCTTCCTTCCTTCCTTCCTTCCTTCCTTCCTTCCTTCCTTCCTTCCTTCCTTCCTTCCTTCCTTCCAGAGTCACCTGCTTCAAGCTGTGTATCCATAAGGTCTAAACGGTCTAAAATTGAACCACTTAAATTCCACAACGTCTTACCCAAAAGTAAAATGTAAGCTTAGATAACTCTTCCTGTCTGTTAACAAAACTTATCATGTGTCTAATGTTTTTATGTCATTTTAAAGCAGAATGGACCAGCAGAGACCAGAATCTTCACATCACTTCTCAGCTGAAGATAAAATGTGAGACTTTACTAGAAATGTTTCAAACATTTATATTATACTTTTAAAATGAGATCAAATCAAAACTAAATGTTTTCTCTTCAAGGCAAATAAATGAGGAAAGGCCAAAACCTCACCTACCAAGATGTTTGTCCATGACAGAATCCAAACATGAATCAATGGATTTCAAGGATGAAGGACCCTCTGAAAATAAAATGTGAGACAGTGATTTATAAGATAACTATAATAAGTTTTACAAGTTTTTCAGACGTTATTGTTGAATGAGGATATATAAATATATATGTATGTCTATATGTGTTAAAACCAAAGGTATACGAAGAGTCAAGAACCATCTCAACCAACCTCTGTGTCCATGAAACCAGAATCCTTGTATCATCTCCAGTCTGACAATAAAATGTGAGAATTTACTTGCAATGTTTCAAACATTTGTATTAGATTTGTGAAATGAGATTAAATCAAAAGTAAACATTTTAAAGCTAAGTTTGATGTACAATGTCTAGAAGTCAAATGAAACAGCAGAGACCAGAATCGCCCCAACCAAGATATTTGTCCATGAGAAGTCAGGCGTCTAAATTTGAACCAATGGAATTCACAACAAGAGGACCCTCTGAATATACGTAAGACAGTAATTTTCTTGGATAACTGAATTAAGTAATTGATTGGTAATTGATACTGTCAATTTTTAACAGTATAATTAGTATCGGGTAATTATAATGTTTTTTTTTTAAGCTGACTGCTTATTATCCTATAGTTTTTTTTATGTCAACCAGAAAATAATAAATTTAAACTCCTTCCTTCCTTCCTTCCTTCCTTCCTTCCTTCCTTCCTTCCTTCCTTCCTTCCTTCCTTCCTTCCTTCCTTCCTT